CCCCCTCCCTCCCTCCCTCTCCCTCCCTCCCTCTCCCTCCCTCCCTCTCCCTCTCTCTCAGAGGTAAGGACATCAACCATTCCCTTATAAGGCTAGTCTCTGGGAGCTGGTAACACTGTTAAATGCCTTCCAGAATATTTGTATCAGCCAGTTCAGAGAAAGCTCCTTGTGTTGTTCCATCCTATAAGATCAATTGTTTCTTTACAGAATGGTGAAGCTGCTATTTTTCAACAGAGAGAAATGTCACTGGGTTTCCTGCATACATTCGCAACCAATTTTTCACATCCTTTTCAAAACTATAATCTTTTTCAAAAAAGTTGGCTTTTAAAATGTAACTCAGACACTTGATTACTGCCTTAAGAACAACACTACATATACACTAAGCAAACAACACAGGAACATTTGCCTTGCTCTCAAGGAGGCATTACCACATAACCTAATAGGAAGGGCAAGCTTTAAAACAAGGGTGTCAAATTCTATTTCATTGAGGGCCGCATCAGGGTTGTGTTTGACCTTGGGGGGCCGGGGTGGGCACGGCCAGGGTAGGTGTGGCTAGCTCAACATCACTCTTGTTGGGGGTACCTGTGTTGGCCTGAGTGCTCTGCCAGTGACAATAGGCTCCCAAGCTCCATTTTTGGCTGCGACGGCCACCTGCAACCCTCTGCCAGCAAAAACGGAGCTCACCCTAACCCTAACCCTAACCCTAACCCTAACCCTAACCCTAACCCGAACTCCATTTTCACTGGCAGAGGCACTGCAAGCCGATCCTTCACCATTTCCAGGGCAGCCTGCAGGCCAAATCTAAGCACCCTGCGGGCCGGATCTGGGCCCCGGGTATTGAGTTTGACACCTCTACTTTAAAACATTGGTGTAATGAGAAACACTGCCCTTAATAGCATTAGGCACATCAATGGCCTCCAAAGTTCACGTCACAAATACATAACAAACAACATGCACATTTCCTGCTGTTCTATGGTGGAAACTGATATAAAAGTATTGTTCTGCCATTGTCTTTCCTTTTGAGGCCCCCAGCACCAATTCCCCTTATATTCCCTCATCTAAATTGTTTAGGAAGATGTTGAAGAGAACTGGGCCGAAGATGGAACTTTGGAGTGCTTCATTGCTTACTTCCCTCCAGAGAGATGTAGCT